GCCCCGCCCCCACGCCCACGCGAGGCTCCCCGCAGCCCCGCACGCCCCACTCCAGCAGCCTTACTCGTCGTCGGGAGTCAGCTGCACCGGCTCGCTGGTGAACTGCGTATCGAAGTTGTCCAGACCGTAGTCGTCGGTAATCTGTGGCTGGAAGGGCGGGAGCGCCTGCTTCTTCCCCAGCTGGGGAGAACAACACGGTGGTCAGACTAGTGCGTGCTCCGGCTCTAGTGCCGGACTTAGATTCTGCACATACTCAACCAGAGTCGAACAGGAAGAGACGGCGTTTAAATACCCTCATGTTTGAATGCCGATTGCTTTTTTCTAGGAGAAATTTTTTCCGAAGGCAGAAAAGTCCTGAAGAGTGCCGGCAGTGCAAGCCCGTGGGCCTGGTACCTGGGATGCAGCACCAAGGCCAACCGCCTGCGCAGGAAACCGGCCCCCACCGCAGGTCTGCACCCCCAGCAGCCGGCCACTTACACCAAACGAAGCTGGTTTGGGGAGTTTTACCCTTTGTTAATCTTGGAACCCTGATCATAAAGGAGCTGGGACTGGGCAGGTGGACCCCCACCCACGCCGGCGCTGGATGCGTCCCTGTCCTGCTGGGACTCCTCCTCCCGAAGAGCAGCCATTTCCGACTACATCTCTAATCCCAGAGGGATACACAGCAGTGAACTGCTGGTAAGGCAGGAAATGGGGCTTCTCAGGACCCAGACTCTGGCTTCCAACTCACTGTTCACAAGGCTGAGACAGGCTCTGCCCAGGAAGGCAGACTTGACAGCCCGGGTAAGACGCGATTCAGCGCCATGCCCCGCCGGGCCAGCATATTCACACAGTTAGGTTCCCTCTCCCTCTCACCGGGTGTGCTGTGCACCTGTGCTGGGCCAGGTGTGCTCCTAAGAACCGAGACTGAGCCATGGCTGAGAGGCATGGTCCCTGCCCCATGGGGCCCTCATGCCAAGTCTGTTCCTGCCCACAGTAGCCACGTGAGGCTGGGAGCAGAGGGAATGCAGGAGCCAGCCCTCCCAGGCCGGACCTGGGCTCTCAGGACTCAGAGCAGCTTAATTCACGAGACAGACGACCCAGGCCTTTCCCTTGGGAGGTCTGAGTGAGCACTGAGCCTGAAAACACCCGCCTTGTGGGGCCTCCACGCCTTCCATGCCAGGCCCCACCAGGTGGGACAGCAGCAGCCAAGTGGAAACTACGAGGACCCCAGCCCACCTCCGCTCACACCACGACTTTGCCACGTGGTGAAATTGTGGGGTCCGTGGTGGCGGGCATAGGGAGGAAAAGCCACCACCAAGGCCTGGGCTGAGCCTGCCATCACCGGCGGGACCTCTGAGGGCAGAGGGACCCCAGCCCCATTTTGTCAGAATGCCTCTTCCCCTCCTCTGTCCCCACATCCCCTCTCGTCTGCCCGGGAAGCAACCATGTTCCCCGGCATGACTTCAGCGTAAACACTGTTCGTAAGGAATAAGCCGTCGGTCCGTACACAGCCCATCGACCACTGCCTTCTGTTCACAGGGAGACGTTTAGTGATGAGATGGGGGCAAGGCCAGCACCAGGCCACACCTGCTAACAGGCAGGGCCAGAAGTGACCAGGTGCCAGCTCAGGAGACGTGGCACCACACCCGCTGTGGCTCTCTCCGAGGCCCAAGGTCTGGCCGGAGCTGCAGCCGCGGGTGAGGCTCCCGTGCAGGTCCTTTGCAGCTTGGCGGGGTGAACGCCTGCGGAGCAGCACTGGGGCTGCACTTTGCAGAAGGCCCACCTACCAGGGCCGTGGGCTCTGCCGCAGACTCCACTGGTCAAGAGCTGGGCTGCGGGGGTGGCCTGTATGGGGCCTGTGTGGGCCCAGCCAGCAGACAGCCCGGCGTCAGCACCCTCCCCCAGGCCAGGTGTGCCGAGCTGTACCCATAACGATTAGAAACCAGCCAGAACCCGGATTTCTTCTACTTTGTGCTAGCAGAACAATAAAATTACAAGAAAAAAAATCCAAAGCTGGTGTTTTTCAAAGTGGCAATGCTCTGAATATCATTTCTGAGTATTTGCATCTAATAACTCCAAGCAAGAAGATGTCTGGTTCTGTTCTGAAACAACCCAGCTGGGCCCTGGATGGGCGTGTGGGTGGGGGCAGGTGCATGTTCTGACCCCTTGCCTCACCCCCCACTGGGGTCCTAGAACTGAGGGGCCTCGGTGCCTGGCTGCCTCCCCCCGCTTCCAGGGCCCCACAGAAGCACACCCGAAAGTCCCACGGCTGCAAAGGGACAGTGGCGGGAGGGAGTGGACAGGAGCTGCTGTGCCCATGGGGCTGCAGAAGGAAGGGCTGGGGGAGGGAGCACCCCAGGGCCCAGAGCTTCTGAACTAGTTCCAGCTGAAGTCCAGCGTTTCCTTCATTAGCTATCTGGTCTTTTTTTCCCTCAAAAAAACGTATTTTAAGGGTTAAAGATCAGTAACTCTGCAACTGTTTCTATGTTTGGAAACAAATTAGGTTCTGTTTTCGTTTAACACCAGAAGCCTTAGCACTAAGGTCTTAGGGACTCCAGCTCTGAGCTCTCCGGCCGTGACCTGAGCAGGTTCTGGGATACAGAAAGGCGGGTGCTGGGAAACTAACCATGAAACCAAAGCACACGCCCTTGTCTGGGCACTGACTCTGCACAGAACCAGCTGGGATCAAGCACGACCCCCAGGCCCCCGGAGCCGGCGTGGATGTCCAGGCAGGGCTTCCCCCAGGATCTTCTGGAAGTGCCAGCTCAGGAGCTTGTCACAGCCCCCCACCCTCCCTGTTCTCCATCCAGTATGAGTTCCCCCATCGCTCCCACACCCTCATATCTGTCTGTCCATCCTGCCCCAGGCCCGCCCACCCCGGGGAGCAGATCCTGGGGTGCTTTACCAGGTCCCAGTCTATGCTGCGGAAGAAGGCGTGAGACTTGATGTCAGAAAATCCAGTCTGTGGCCGGCAGCCGAGCCTCTCCTTCGGGTCCTGGGGGTCAGAGTTCAAACAATGACAAGTCAGCACAGAGCAAAGCAGCCCCCGCTTCACAGCTGGTGCCGGACAGGGAACTGGCCTGCCCTCCCAGTCACTTAAAGGCCTTAAACCATCACTCATCATAGAAATGCAGATCTCCGCAGCGCAGAACCTGGGGAGAGGGTGGCACCCATCCTGAGCGGAGAGAGCCCGACAAGGGACCTGGACAGATGCTGAGCTGCTTTGCTAAATTCCTCTCTGGAGTAATTTCTCGTCATCATGTTTTGTCTGGGGTGAGTAAACATTCAAACCCACCCCCAAGATGTCCAGGAGCTGATACCGGAGATGACCAGGGGGTGGAGCCTGGGCCCGATGCACTGTGAGAAAGGGCTCCAGGCCGGCAGCCCCGGACGGCACGGCTGCCATGGTGGCTGAGAACGTACCTTGTTTAGAAATCCTTTCAAGACGTGGGATGCCTTGACCGAGAGGAAGCGGGGAATCCGGATGGGCTTCTCCAGGATGACTGCAATGATTGCGGGCGGCGGTGGGAGCCCGTTTCTCCTCTGTGTGCCCCGCCCCCTCCCCACTGGTCCCTCTGCCCAGCAGCCAAGGGGCTGGCCACCTGCAGGGCTCTTGGAATCCCCCACCAGGCAGGAGGGTTAAGCATTCCTGGTGCCCTGAAGCCCCCTTCCTTCACCCCGCAGGGTCTGCAGCCCTCAGAGGGCCCCCATGCACACGGTCACATGTGCCCATGCTCACGTTTGAACCAAGAGAGGCTCTGCTCGCCCTGCACCCCTGTGTCCGTGGGCACCAGAGGCACTGTGGGGACAGCTGGGGTTCTGGGGCTCAGTCTCCCAGGGTGGTCAATTCTGGCTCAGGGGCCTAGATGGCAAGAAGCCGCAATGGTGGCTGGAAGGGGGCGGTGCCCTGGCTAAGCACAGCCCCCTGCCCAGGACTCTGGGGTGCACACCCGGTGCGGGTCGGCAGGGAGCTGGGCTACATCAGGACGGATTCTCTCTCCTGCTCGTGTGAAAAAGCAGTGCCCCCGCCCCATATTGTTTCCACCCCCACAACCCGGTCATGAGAACAGGCAGCCCCCGCCAGTCTGTGGTAGCCGCGGGGACCAGCCTGGGGGCGCTTTCTCCTGCTCCTCTGCAGGGGGAGAACCCACAGGGCGCGGGAAGAACTGGACACACAGACCAAGGGCGGCAGCCCTGAGCGGCCCACGCACCTTGGAAAAGGTAGTCCTCGGTGTTCATGTCGGGGTTGTCGGTGATGATGTCGAAGGGGGAGCGGCCGGCCATCATCTCGAACATCAGGACACCCAGGGCCCACCAGTCCACACTGAACCCTGGAGGGGAGCGCAGGCCGTCACGCCGGGCGCGGGCCATGTGCAGCGGCCGCAGGATGGGCGTCTCCTGTTGTCCTGCCGGTCACCGGGCGGCAGGAGCCACGGTTTCCGTTTCTTGGACCAGAGCTGAGGGTGGGTGTCCCCCAGGCAGCCTGGCCCCGCCGTGTCTACTGTCCTGAGGACGCCTGTCTCTTAGCTAGCAGCCGGGCTGTGTCACGGCAAAGCCCCCGGGTAGACCAGCTGCCCCAAGAGTGCCCGGCCCTGTCCTCCTCCATCACACACGGGACCCCTGCCCCGGCAGGTTCTACCAAGAGTGCCCGGCCCTGTCCTCCTTCATCACACACGGGACCCCGCCCCGGCAGGTTCTAGACTCTGCTCTGGTCCACGGGGATAATGGCAAAGAAAATGTCTGGAAATATCTGATGGCATATTTGTGACACGCATCAACTGAAAACAAGAGAACCCAAAACTGCGTGGGGTGTGCACACGTGCATACGTGTGCGCACACACGTGCATACACGCACGTTCTAATCTCACTCTCATTTCCCTCCTGGAGAAAGAAGGGCAGACGTGCTCCAGGGTCGGCGGGGCTGCAGGTGGTGCTGGCTGACCCACCTCTGTGGACAGTCACCGCCTGGCTCCTCCCACAGCCACCGGGCACCGACCCTGGGTTCTGTCTTTGCTTCGTCCTCTCCTTCCCAAGCCCCTAGGGCTCTGTGATGAGAAGGATCCTGTCCAGTGACCTCCCCGGGGGACACTGAGGTGGACACACAGGACAACAGATGGGGACTGAGGCCAGATGGTGACATGGGGCTGGGAATGGAGTAAGGGCGTGTGTTTTAGTGTCACTTGGTCAATAAAAGCCTCTCCCTGGCTGCTGGGCCAGGGCCCTAGAGCCCCTGGTTAGGACCCCAAGCAGGGCCGGCCCCAGGCATGCCCACCCCACCCCACTGCTCCAGGCCGAGTCCCCCAGGAGACAAAGCCCCAGGCTCGGGGTCGGCCTGGCCCACTCCTGCCCCCGCACCCCCCCAAGCTCACCGTACTCCTCCCCCCGCAGGATCTCTGGGGCGATGTAATTTGGGGTGCCGCAGAAAGTGCTCGTCGTGTCTCCGGGGCCCAGGCCTTCCTGTGGGGACAGAGCCAGTTACCGGAGGGAGGGCACCTCCAGATGCGACCCTGTGGTGGGAAAACCACCGTGGCACACTAACACAGAGGCGCCTGGGCCTGGCCTCCTGGGGCCCGGCAGCCAGCAGCCAGCGTCCCGGCGCCACCGGGAGGGGTGTGGGCCTCACCTTGCACATGCCGTAGTCCGTCAGCTTGATGTGGCCGTCAGCGTCGAGCAGGACGTTGTCCAGCTTCAGGTCCCGGTAGATAATCCCTCTCTCGTGTAAGAAGTTGAGCGCAATGCAGATCTCCGCGGCGTAGAACCTGGGGAGGGGGTGGCACCTGTCATGAGCAGAGAGAGCCCGGCAAGGAACCTGGACGGGAGCCCCGCACAGAAGGACGTGCCCCGGGGCCGCTGAGCCCACCGCCCCTGCCCAGACGTCCTGTGTCCCCTCACTGACGGGCACGTGGACCAACAAGGCTGGGAAAAGACTCAGCGTCATAGAGGTCAGGGAACCACGAGACACTGCCTCCCATGCACCCGGGACGGCCACTGTCCCAACCCCCCCAGACAGAAAATAGCAAGTCTGGTGAGGATGTGGAGAAGCTGGGACCCGTGTGCACTGCTGGTGGGAAGGGAAAATGCTGCAGCTGCTGTGCTAAGCAGTCTGGAAGGGCCTCAAACAATTAAAAATAGAAGCACAACCGGACCCAGCAACCCCACCTCTGAGAACACACACAAAAGCGTGAAAGTGGGCTTGAGGGCGTCTGCACACCCACGTGCACAGCAGCACAACAGCTACGTCAGGGAGGCGGCTCCGGGTGTCCGTCAAGAGGTGAACGATAAAGTGCGGTCCGTTCACACAATGCAATGATACGCAGCCTCAAAAAGGAAGGAGGCTCTGACACCCGCTACAATATGGATGCACTCTGGGGCCGTTGTGCTCAGTGAAATAAGCCGTCACAAAAGGACAGATACCTGTGATCCAGTGACAGGAGGTCCCTGGAGGAGTCAGATTCAGAGACAGGAAGCAGGAGGATGGGGGCCAGGGGCTGAGGGGAGGGGTGGGGAGGGAGTGTTTCATGGGGACAGAGTTTGAGTTTGGGAAGATGAGAAAGTTCTGGAGATGGCGGTGGGGATGGTTGCACAGCACTGTGAAACGTGACCAATGCCCCTGAGCTGTGCCCTTGAAAAACGGTGAGGGTGGTAAATTTTGTTACATTGTGTTTTACCACAACTGAAAAAGAGAGAGCATGAGTGTGTGGGGGCTACTCTTGATTTATTACCAGCCTTTCCCCCTGGAAAGATCTCTGGTGACTCACAACACTGCATGGAAGTATCTTCGAGTGAGGAAATGAGGAAAAGAGAAAAGTATGGAAAACAGGAAAGAGCGAGCCATGGAGTGGAAGTGAACGCGCCTACGAGGCCCGAGGCTGAGGAGGGGTGAGGACGGGTCAGCTTCCTGAGAGCTCAAACGGTGGTCCTCATCCTCCCGCGACCAAGCAAACCCTGGCTGAGTGTCCCGGCGGGGCGGGGCGGGGCGGGGCGCGGCAGGACAGCCCCCTATGTCCACGCACGTCAGTTTATAGTCGGAACTTCTCCCCATTTCGGAAACAGGGAAAAAGCCAACGCGGGACAGCGCCTTCCTGCACGCACACCCCCGTCTCTCTCGAGGGGGTCCGAGACCTTCCGGGCTCTGGCGGGTCACCTGGCAGGAGACGGCCGCGCCGCTCCCCACCCCCAGCCACCTCCCCAGACCCATCTCCCTTCCGACTCACCGCTGGGGCCCAGGGAAGGCCCGCCCCCACGCACCTGGCGTGCTCCTCCGGAAGCTTCCTCTGCCTCTGCATGTGGAACATGAGGTCGCCCCCGTTCACGTACTCGATGACCAGAAACAACCTGGTGGCAGAGAGGGCCGAGGGGGCGGGGATCGCACGTGGCCACTCCAGGGAGAACCATGGGCCTGTCCTCTCTCGCGGGCGGTCACTCCTCCCAGAGGCCAGAAAGGCAGGGACCCAAGGCCGCCCACCCTGCCCCGAGGTCGGAGGGTATGGCTTAGCTCTGACCCCGACAGGGTCAAATTCAGAAGAGAAACTTTCACTTGGGCGTTCATTTCATCCAGCACAGTAATTTGCTCTCCCAATGGTGCAAGGCCTACCTTTGGGTAAAAAAAGGTACAAATAAGGCAGAGCTAGTGGCTGGAGGCCCCGTGGGGGTGGGGAGGGCGCTGTGTGGCCAGGGGGCTGCAGAAGCTCCCTAGGGAGCAGAGGCCTGAATGGTGGTGGGGGTGGGGGCTGCGAGACCACCTGGAGGCCCAGGGGACCGGTCGTCAGAAGCCGGAAGGGCAGGCCCACGAGCCAGGTGAGGGGGATGACAACGTCTGGCAGTCGGATGACCACTCTGGCCGCTGTCTGTGTGGACCCCAGGGAGGGGAGGCAGTGCCCAGGTGAGAACACAGGTGGGGCGGCCGGGCGTCCAGGAGAAGAAAGGAGTGGGTGGGACCCCAGGTGGGACCTGGTGGCTGGAACCCTTCCCAAGCAGGGAGGACAGGGCAGGTCAGGAGCACTGACCAGCCACAGGAGGTCTGTGATGCCAGGCACCCCTCCTGGAGGAGGCCGGAGGGGCAGCAGGGGTCAGGGTGGGGCTGGCGTGGGGTCGCTGACATCTCCTGGACGCACACAGGGCCCTTCAGGTCTCCAAACAGTTCACCACGTGGTTAATTTCCTGATAAGCTCCTTCTCCCATTTAATAAGGCTTCGTTTTCAAAATTAAATTCACACACAACTTTCCAGAAATACCCTGCTGAGGGCAGTTCGTGGATTTTAGGTCAACAGCTCCTCTGGGGCATCGTCAGCTCCATGGTGCCCCAGGCTGGGAGGGAGGTGGTGGGGGCACCCTGTAGGCTCCCTGGCCCCTCCAGCCCCTCCGGGTGCCAGGCCGTCTGCGTGGAGAGCCATCGGTGACACCCCGGACGGAGGGCAGAGGCCCCCTTTATACAGAGCAGGTGAACAAGCTGCAAACCACTCCCAAGTCCCACTGTGCATTTAGACCAGAAACAAGCTCCTAAACATGTGAACAGCAGAGATGGAGACAGAAGCCTGAGCGCTGGGGGACAGCCAGAGACTCCTGGCCTGGAGGAACCCAGCTCGGCTGAGGAGGGCGGCCCCTCTGCTTGGAGAGGCTGCAGGAGCCAACCCTTCCATGGGCCCGCCTCTCTGTGAGTGAGTTTACTCTCATACGTCGTGCCTGCAGCTGCCTTCACGCAACAGCAGAGGTGAGAGATGGAACTTCACAGGCCTGGTGCAAACAGTGAGGACCAACGACAGCTGGACACTGACTGCCAGGCACATTCTGACACGTGCGCACGTTCAATCCCGGCAGCCATCCTGGAGGAAGTGCTATGAAGGTCCTCAACCCCTGTGAAGAGGCTCAGACCTCACAGTGAAAAAAAAAGCATTTATTCAAAACTCTGTGACTCCAAAGCCCGGGATGATATTGTCCACAATTACCAGGAACCACACTCCCTTCAGGCATCTGCCCGAGATGTTCACCCAGAAAGGGGTGGTGGCCGCCCACGCAGGGACAGAAAGGAACATCACTCCAGAGAAAGGAGAGACACTGATGCTGGGGGACAACACCAACACAGCGTCCTGGGGGCAGAAAAGCCTCAAGGGGGCATTTAAGAGCCTAGAAAAGCAGACGCAACAGTAGTGCCTTTGTGCCCAGGGGACAGCCCGTCAAGGGGATTTTAAGAGCCGCATCTCTGTGAGGCGACACGGGGACCCTCGGCTGGTCCGCACGGGCTCCCGGGCTCCTAGGTCTCGGTAAGTCTCTGACCGGGGAACTCATTTAATGTGCACCACGTTTGAGCTTCAAGAACAGGGCAGGACGTCTTTTCTTTTTAAAGCAGAAAGTCCTGTGTATCTAAGGGCTTTTTTTCTTCCGTTCTACAGATCAGCGTTAGTACTACCGTCAACCATTCTTCTGAGCAAAACCCCAGCAGGGCCATCAGGTGCTGACTGACTCTGAGCACGTTGCTTTGTGTGACTCAGACGACCTGGCTGCTGTGACCAAAC